CATCCAGTTGAAGGTCAGCACTCTAATTTTGTTTCTATATTAGCCCTTACAGGCATTCATTTTAGACCTTCATAATATGAATACCCACCATTTGCCAGCACAAGCCATTCATTGTAGTGCAGTAGGTCTCTGTTAATTGTCTTGCTCATTTCGCTCTCCAGTTTTTTTTTCATGCTCATGCTTTCCCCTCTGCCTTGCATGCCCTCTCGCCTTCATCTTTAAATGCAGTCCTCTAGGCCCAGGGCTTACACTTCTGATTTCCTTCTCTGATTTTTCTGGTCTGCATTAAGCTCCACTTTTTGAGTCAGAGTTGCACCACTGAATGATCCCTTGACTAACTCTCATTGCTGCATATGTGTCAGCTTTTAAAATTGGACCCTAAGCTTTGGATGTTTGAAGACCACTTGGAATGCCCCGCCAATGTTAGATGTCTATGATCACAGTTTACACAGTCCATATCCTGCCAGAGCACTCTCAGTATTACACCGTTTTTCCCACTGAGAAAGAGGTTCTCTAAGTTCTTTGCTGCTTTGTAATTCAGTGCCTCCCCCCATACAATCCCTTCTGTTAAGGCGTTCCCTCCATTGTCACTGCTGTTTTATCTTATTGCTTTAAAACTTGGTCAATTCTATAAGCCTTGGTTTTCTTATCTGACTCTCCCTAGGATGTCAGCCCCTTGAGGGTCGCAACTTGCAATGCTTGGTACACAGTAGGTGCCCAAGAACTGTTCTTAGCATGATTGAATGAGTAAGAGGCCCAGCTGGACTGACACATTTTATATTCCCATCCATCCAGACCCCACCATCCCTATTTTATCTTGAAGGCTAATGTTTTACCAGCACTGAGAGGGGCAGAATGTGCCATGAATTATGGATTCCATTTGATCCCTGTAGAGGCAATCTGAATATTTTTCCCTGTGGGTGCTTGAGTGAACCAAACTAGCCCCACACTTGTCAGATTCCTCCCTCTCTTTGTGCTGCAGATGAAAGTATAAGAAGTGAAAACTGGAACTCTCTTGACCTTTTCAAGTCGTCAAATAATGATTTTCTAGACAGATAAGACTAAATTGGTATTGGATCTCTGCTCGGGAGCAGGAAGGGTGGCTGTTTATGGGCTGCATGTGTATTGCTCACTGTTTCATTTTCTTCTTTTCTGCCTGGTGGAGGAAATTAAAACTCTGATGGTCAGATTAGGTGGTTCTAAGCCTCTGCCCCTTGCCTCCTGCTGCAGATGTGAGAATTAGGCTTATCTACCAGTTCAGGTGAGGTGGTCGATAATTTGAACACTTGACAAAATAGCAAAGGTAATAAGATCCTTAAAGGGCTAGTGAATTGTTAAAAAAGAGAGAGAGAGAAAGATCCGCAACCAAGAGCAAAACAAAAGGAATAAACAAAAATCCCCACTCAGGGCTTCCCAGCCAAAGAGCAAAGGGTCACCTACCTGGAATAAAGTAGAGGGCATTGTCAAAATGGTCTGCTTCATTAGCCTGCCTTCCTATCTGGACTGCCTCTGTATCTCATTCTTTTGAGTTGAAGTATCTTAGGTGGAGCTGTATGTTAACCTGGAGACACCTTGCTGTTGGCTGGTATAAACACAGCTGTCATCCAGTTGTTTAGCTGGGCTGGAGGAACTGGACCACAAACCTGGTAAATCTTCAAGAAGAAAGGAGGCTGGCCAGGCTCGGAGGACAAGGGTTATTGCTACCTCACTTGGGGCAGCAACTGGAGGGCAACTGGCTGATTTCCTGAAAAACAGAGATTAGTGGTTGGTAGGAAAGGTTCTTAAAAAACACATATAACCTACTTCTCAGTATTGTCAAGACCAGCTAGCAACAGCCTCTTCAAAGCATCCTTATCAAGGGCTATTCGTCAGTCCACTTTTATTGGGTGCCTTAATATCTTGGGAAAATGAAAATCAGAAAACCAGATAAAAAATTGAATTCATCTCACTTTATTCATTTAGAGGTGGACATCATTACAAAATGTACCTGTTCCTCTGTGTTACTAATCCTCTTATGGGATGGCTTTAATCTCAAATAATATAATTCTGACATTCTGGGATAAAGTATTAGGGGAAACAAACCTTGGATATTTATTCCCTAAGATTTAGCAGAAATTAAGCTTTTTTTTCCTATTCTTTAATTGAAGGATACTGAGCATCATTGCATCTGACTCTCACAACAGTGTGACTTTTATTTAAAAATCAGCAGAGCAGAACTTGTTTGTGGTTATTTCACACAAAGAATCTGAGAGAATCACAATGGAACACAAGCTAAAGCCTAAATAAGACTATACAAAAAAAAAAAAAAACCAATAAGATGCTAGAGTGTGTCTCTCCATCTTTTAATCTCTTGCTCTTTCTTAATATTTCTTTTCTTTTCTCCATCTTTGTCTCTGTCTCCCTGCCTTTCTGTCTCTATCTTCCCTTCTGTTTATAGGAGGAGGAGAGGTTTCTGTTAATAGGTATCACATGGTCACTTTCCCCCATCACCTTTTCATTTCACTAAAAACATTTCTCCTGCCTGGGCAAAATTAGGTTCAGGGCAGCATTTGCCACTGTTCTTTAATTTACTGAATGCAAGACAAAAGTACTATTTATGTACAGTTTATGTAAATTTTTGCAGTCCTTAATCACAAAATCATAAAATGGTATGACCCCTTTACTAAAAAGGCTGAGCAGTTCTAGCCTGCACAGAGCCTAGATGATCAGAGGTCCCTTCTCTCTGTCTTGAACAGACTTGGAAGGGGCTGATCCTAAACCACACTTTCTGAAAGGCCATTGGTAAGGAGGAAGTAATGCTGAAAAACCATGTCTTACAAGCCAGGGAATCTGTAGCCTGGAAGGGAAATGACTAAAGTGGGAATGTAGTGGTTGCCTTGTCCTAAGATATTTAAAATGCTGTTAGGTTGTGAAGGGGCAGATTTAGTTCAGAACTAGGCCTGATCTTTAAGAGTTCTGGATAGGGAGAGCAGAGCTTATTATAAGAAGGAGAAGCTTTTCCATCACAAGCACTAAGTAGTGAGCCTCTGTTAATTGCAGTATTCAAGCAAAGGCCAAACACTCACCTGTGAGAATGTTGAGGGTGAGATTTCTCTGGGCCATGCTGCGTACCTGAATCTTAAGGTGATGTTTCCCCGAGAATTAGCTCTCACAAGAGCAGGAATTTTCCTGTATTTGAATTTCTAAATAGGAAATACAACAAATCTCGGTTTGGGGAAGACACGTAAACTTGAAAATACTTTAAGTGATGCTACAGTGAATGCTACTATTTCATTGTAGATTGAAATAATAGAATCCGTAAAAGATGAAGTAAAGGAATTCTAAAAATTTTAATAGTGGCTTCTCTGTGTCTGATCTCACAATTTAGAATATCACTGTTGTTATATAATTTTAAAATCATGCAATGTAGCAATACGGTAAGAGATTACTTTATGGGAGTGGTTCTTATCTAGGGGTGATTTTGCCCCATCCCCAGTGGGATGACACTGTTTAGTGTCATGACTGAGGTAGGCAGTGAGTGCTCCTGGCATGAAGTGGGTGAAGGCCACGGATGCTGTCAGACATCTTATAATGCACAGGACAGTCCCCACAACAAAGAATTATCCAGTCCAAATGCAGTGTGGCATTTAGAAGCCTTGCTTTCTGGAGATCATGAATGTAACTCTGAGAATAATAAAAATTGCTTCAACCACAACATCACAGGGATTCAGAAAATGCTATACTTCAAATAACAGTTAAGGGAGTGAAGATGATGTGTTTTGAAGGATCATGTTTGTGTTATGTGACTCGAAATCTAGCTCTGGTGACAGCAGACATCCTGTTGTCAGCTGTGTGTATCAAGAGTTTCAAGAAAGCTGTTTCATAAGATGTGTGAGAGAGAAAAAGCCATATTTCTAAATCAGTATGTTACTGTATATAATATGTGACATTAAATGTTTATGTATAACATTTAATGAAATGAATCACATAGCCATTTAGCAATTTTATCTACTTTAAAAGTTGATATATGGAAGTGAATCAGTAACAGGTTTTTAAATTTTCTTATTGGAAAACGGCTACATGTCTTACATTTAGGCTAGCCTTATATTTGGACAGGTACAGAAAATTGAATTTCAGTGTCCCGAGTTCCATGTTGGTCATGGCATACAGTTTTTTTGGCTATGATATAAAATGTCTTCAATCTTATGAGCGTGGGAACAACTTCCAAAGGTAATCAAGTCTTTCTTGCTTTGAAAAGATTGCATACTATAAAATTCAGCAGATTGTATGAGTTTTGACAAGTGGATAGTCATGTAACCACCACCAAAATCAAGATGCAAAATACTGCTACTAATCCCGCAAACTCCCACACTGTCCCTTTGTAATCAGCCTCTTTCCTCTGTGTTCCTATGTTTTTATGTTTATTCTTATACGTTTTACAGGTAGAATGTTTATTTTCAAAATAAACTTTTCTGTAGAGACCCAGCATCTAAATAAGACCCACACAGAGCTTCTTTGGACAAAACAAGGCACGGAGGCTCAAATCTATCTGCCCTGCTCCCCTCTGGCCCCAACTATGGCCTTGGGGATTTTTCTGGGAAACTGACGCTCTGCAGAATAATCAACACTACTAATTAAATTCTTCCATTGATCCAAAGTTTGGCGAGCCCATAATTACAGTGTGCCAGGCTAGTCACTGGGGAGATAGGATGAGACTCAATAGACAGACAGGATCCCTGCCTTTAGCAAGCTTAGAGTCCAGTACAGAGACATTCATCCAACATGCATGTAAATAAAATGGAAAATGGAAAATTTGCTCAGTCTCAAAAAGGAAAATTACATGGTGCTTTGAGGGGAAGTGTCAGTTAAGCTTAGGCAAGAGTGATGACCTCTATGATAGAATTGCCCCTGGTCATCATTCATGTTCTAGGTAGAGGGAAGCTTCAGGAGGTCCCCCAAATGGAAAGTGCTTAAAGAACCATGAGAGAAGCTATGTGGTGGATGAGCAAGGAGTTCCTAGAGAAGTAGGAGAAGTCAGGCTGGACAGGGCTTTATGTGTCATAAAAAACAAATTAAAAATAAAAAATGGACTTCATCTTAAGATTTAGAGTTACCAAAGGGATTTTAAGTAGGGGAGTGACATGATTGGATCTCTCTCTCTCTCTCTCACTGGCTGCTCCATGCAGAATGGGTTAGAGTGTGGCTGGGCAAATGGGGAGGTGGTAAGAACAGTGAAAAAGCCATTGAAGCAGCACAGGAAGGTGATGACAGTGGCTGGGCCAAGGAGGTGAAGCTGAAAATGAATGCAATTCTGTGCAGGAGGTAAGATGAATAATGGCCTGAGCTGGGCTGGGGAGAGCGTCTGGGAGGTCCACCAAATTTCTGGCTCAAGTGGTTGCATTTACTGAGGTGCAGCCCGCTTGACATGGATAAGGTGTATAAGAAGAACCAATAGTCCACCTCTGGACAAGTTAGATTGTGATGCATGGGAGACTTCCAGAAGGAAATGCCGACGAGGCACATGGCGTTCAAGGCCTGGCCTTTCAGAGCTGGCCTTCCAATTATCAGTTACTTATTCTTTACAAAGACCCATCATGCCCTCATGCCTGGGATAGATACTGGGGTAAAAATACAGCTGTGATGTGGCCCTTGTCCTGGAACTGGAGAAGGAGCTAGGATGCATTTGGATTAGTGTTGTAAAAGAAATATGAGAGATCAATCAGCACAGGACACAATTTCTTTTGCCGAAGGGAGTCTTTGCTAGATGGAGGGTTTCCCAGATGAAAAGTGGGAAGTGCACCATTCTAAGGAGAGAAAGAAGTATATGCAAAGTTTGCAAGGTATGAACATGAAAGGTCTATGCAGGAAATTTCAAGTAGTTTAGCGGAGGAAGGTGGTAGAGTCTGTATGTTATGGGAGGTGGTCGACCTCCCAGACACTCTCCTCAGCCCAGCTCAGGCCATCATTCATCTTACCTCCTGCACAGATTTGCTTTCATTTTCAGCTTCACCTCCTTGGCTCAGCCACTGTCATTGCCTGACTATGCTGCTACAGTGATTTTTTTCACTTTTCACACTACCTTCCCATTTGCCCAGCCACACTCTAATCCATTCTGCATGGAACAGCCAATGAGAGAAAGAGAGAGAGAGGGAGAGAGAGAGAGAGATGCAACCATGTCACTCCTCTACTTAAGATACCTTCGATGACTCTAAACTTAAGATAAAGTTCGTTTTTAATTTTAAATTGGTTTTTTATGACACACAAAGCCCTGTTCAGCCTGATTTCTGCCTACTTCTCCAGGAACTCCTTGCTTGTCCACCACATAGCTTGCTGGGGTTTTAGTGTTGAAACTTACATGACTTGCAAAGGAGCCAGGAAGGGCTGCAAGGAGGGAAGAGACACCAGACATCATCACATCTGTGGCGTAGACTGCAGCGTGGACCGCAGTAGGAGACTCTGGGGTCAGGGAGGATGCCTGGAAGGATGTTTGCAGTTGCTGAGGAGGGCCTCAAGGCTGTGGCAATAAGAATTGGAAAGAAAAAGATAATTTAGGGATTTAGGAGGCAGGCTCTACAGGTCTTGATGACAGAAGAGATGAAAGGAACCGAGTATTGTGTTGTTTCCATTTTGAACAAACAGGCAGAAGTGATGCTGTTAACGACAACTGCAGGCTCCAGATGAGGAGTTTTGTGGTGAAGTAATAAACCCTGCGTTGTGTATGTCTGTGAGTTTTTGACTCCCCATGGACCTTCAGTGGGCAATCAGGATGCTGTGAGCCTGTCCGTTGACTGAGACATGCTGGCACAGTGTCACGGACCTAGCCATACTGAATTGCTTTCCGGTGATTCGCTTATATTTCTCTTCAGATTGTGAATATTCTTAAAGAAAGAAATTGTGTCATATTTTTCCCTTCTCTCAAGTGAATATATCATACCTCAGTGTGTGTTAGATATTTTTTACTTCAAACTAGAGTTAAGAAATAAATTTTATATCATGCACAGACATCCATCTAAAGCGTATCTAAAACAAAAGCTTTATAAAATGCTTGCCCACAGCATCTGTAGTGAACTTTAATGTCTCCTTTCCTCTTCTCTCTTCATTTTCTATTTAAATTTTATTTTTAAAAAGTTACCACTTCCTATACTTTCTTTGGGACTAGTGAACGAACTCTGGAGTGAGTAAGCCACTGACATACATCACAAGGTGCAGGAACAATCTTAGAATCCAGGTGAGACAGACTCAGGTTTTGAATTCTGCTCTGTCACTGAATAGCCATATGGTTTTGAGCACATGATTTAGTCTGAGCTTCAACTTTCTCATCTATAAAATGGAGATAGGCCAGGCATGGTGGCCCACGCCTGTAATCCCAGCACTTTGGGAGGCTGAGGCGGACAGATCACAAAGTCAAGAGTTTGAGACCAGTCTGGCCAATATAGTGAAACCCCATCTCTACTAAAAATACAAAAAATTAGCCAGATGTGATGGTTTGTGCCTTTAATCTCCCAGCTACTTGGGAGGCTGAGGCAGGAGAATCACACGAACCCAGGAGGCGGAGATTATAGTGAGCCGAGATCGTGCCATTGCACTCCAGCCCAGGCGATAGTGCGAGACTTGAACTCAAGGAAAAAAAAAAGGAGATAAATGCCTGATCATAGGAAAGATCAATAAGAAAGCAAATGCACCTAAATGAACCTAGCTGTATCAGTTTATTTTGCTGCTGTAACAAATCACCATAAAATCAGTGGCTTAAAACAACACAAATTTATTATCTTACTGTTCTGGAGATCAGGAGCCCAAAAGAGGTCTTAATGGACTAAAATCAAGTTGTCACAGAGCTGCATTCCTTCTGGAGGTTCCATGAGAGAATCTGTTTTCATCCCTTTTCCTGCCAGCCATCTGTATTCTCAGGAAGTCTTTCTCCAACTTGAAAGCCAGCAGTGTAACATCTTCAAATCTATCTCAGGCCTTCTACTCCCTTCTTCCACATTTAAAGGGCCCTGTGTACACTGGTCTCATCCAGATAATCTAGGACAATCTTTTTGTTTAAGGTTGGCAAATTATCAACCTTATTTCCACTTGCAACCTTAATTACCCCTTGCTATTTAACATAACATATTCACAGGCTCTGAGATTAGGATGTGGACACATTTGGTCAGCAGTTATTCTGTCTACCAAAATAGTACAATGAGTTGAACCTCACAGATGTTCAATAAAGACTTGATGACACTGGAGTTCCCTTTTAACCCTAAGATTCCATGAAATTAAAAAAAAAAGTATACCAATGCAACACACACACACACACACACACACACACACACACACACATACACACACACACAATCTAACCTATAAATACATATTCAATCTTAACACAGATTACCATCTTACCTTTGGGAAACTGATATGATAACTTGAGTTCTTACCTTACTTTTTATTGGTTGACAAGAAAGAACAACCCATTTGGGGACAAAGCAAGCTGATTTTATTCCTGGCTAGGAAAGGAGAAGGTGAACTCTTACTCTAAATAAACCCTCTATCCAAACAATACAAGGCATGAGGTTTTTAAGGACTGGGTATTGGGTGGGAGAGGAATGTTAGCATGGGCAGGGGGGGACTCCAGACGTGCAGACTCAATTCATGAACATATATCTTCATACAACCCACGTAAAATGGCAGAAGTTTTCTTTTTTGGAGGAAAGGTTGGGATTATAGTCCTCTGTTCCACTGTGTGTCAGTTTGGAGGTTTTATCTCCCTCTGGAATCTGATCGGGGTCACAAAACTCTGGTGCCATCTCGGGCCATCTGCTTTTTTTTAAGCAGCTGTAATAAATAAAGGACTAAAGGAAAACCATAAGAAAAAGAACTTTCCCAGTTATTTCATCATAGCTGCCCTCGAAACAATATTTGAAACTAAGTACAGTAGGTCCTCCCTGAACGTCACAGATAGGTTCGTGGAAACTGAGTTTAAGTGAAGCTACACCTAGCAGGTCCTGGAGAAAGTCCTTTAGCGCAAAGTCATTTCCTTCAACGAATGTTGACAAAAAATATTGGTTTTGTTATACATTGTTTTACTTCAGCAGAAGTTTAAGATAGTCTTGAACTCAGGCATTACCATCGAAGCCTTGTTTTTAAATGTTTTGTTTCAACTGAGAATTTCTGGTAGCTTGCTTTCAATGTCAATGCTTAAGTCAACAATAAGTATGCTGAGCAGGGCAGGCCTCTGGCAAGTCTTACTGAGTTATCCTAGAAGCTTAACTCACTCTCATACTGATCATTTATCAATACTTTCACTTCCCGTAAGAGAGAAAGGAGAGGAGCAAGCAAAGAGAAAAGAGGCGGTGGGGGAATGGGGGAGCATAGGGACAGAAAAGAGAATAAACAAGAGGAAACACACGTTCAGAAATCTCAAAAATTTGAACATGTGCTGTTTGCAGTAGGTGGTCAATACGTACGTTGTGAATGAATGGTTAAAATAAAATAAAATCAGTATTTAAAAGAAAAGCAAGATGTATTTTTGAAAATAACAAAAACTAGATGCTTTTTCTGGGAATAGTGTCTTGAAAAAAGGAAGTGGAGTTATAATAAGAATAAGTCTCAGTAAATGCTAGCATTATGATTATTCTATGTATTTTTAAAGTATTTCTCCTAGACTACACATGGGGCCATGCACAAGGCTCTTGCTGTTTTATGCTAGAAAATCTGCCTGCCCTGCCGATGAGATTAAACAGCGAAATCCCTGTATACTTAGCTAGCCTGAAGCCTGCAATCAAGGCGGCACCTAATTCCCTAGCACCTTGACTGCCAGATATTTGAATGGAAGATCAACAACAGCACAAAAGGTTCCTGGGAGCTCTTGAAGCAGCTTACGCTTCAGGGAGAAAGCAGGCAGAGAATGGGAAGTTGGGAACCACAAGTTGAGTTTATCACAGCCCTTCCTTCTCTGAGGATGTAAGATCAAGCAAGACCAAGCCCTTAACAGCCAGCTGAAAGGAGGTGAAGGACATCACGTTCATTTCTATGTGGGACCCTCATGACGTCAAGCTTGAGGAGTTTTACAACCATGTGAATGACGAATTGACTTTTTTCAGATTCCATTTGTCCTTCTGCATTCATGAAGAATTGCAGTTTTCAGTTTTTCAGACATTTTACCTCTAGATGAATGATTGAATCGTGTAGTTGTCAGCTGATGTCTGATATCATATTGATTCAGGTTAGGGCTGTCTAGAATATGAGGTTGTTTGCTCTTCTGAAGCCATGAAGAATGGCCTTGCTGAGCATATTTCTGTAACCCAGTGCCTACTCCCGAGCAGACCCTCCGTAAATTTTTGTCGAATTTAAGAGGTAATAGATTTAAATTGCTTCTCAACAGACCTTTGTACCCATTTTCTTGACTGCTGGGCAACGGATTCCATGGGAATGAACAATACTATTTTTTGTGAGATAAAATTTCACAGTGGTAAAAAGCAAAAGCTCTGGAATTAGACCTATGATCAAATCTCCATTTGCCCAATTACTTACCAGCTATGTGACCTTGAGACAATTATTGAAATTATCCGAGTCTCTGTTTACCCATCTGTAAAATGGGAATAATAACATTGCCTACCTTATAGAATTATTGTGAGCATTATTTAAGCATCAGGAGTGACACTGATTCAGGTGGGTTTTTTCCACTGCTTGGATGCAATGGATTGTTGTGTATTGTTTTCATTTCCCTCTGGTGGTAGCTCTTGCCAGCATGTGTTCTTCTTCAGGATGCTTGGACTTTTTAGCTGCAGGAACCAAGAGAAGATGAGCCAGAGAGATACTCTGAGGGGTAGGGTTGGGGAGAGCCCAGCCCTATAGCAGCATTGTCTACTGCCTGAAGGGGCTTCTATATGTGTATTTTTCTTCACCCCAGAGTGGATTTTATTTCTTAGAGCAATACCTCTCTGGTCCTTTCACTATATTTATCAAGTCCTCCACTTCTGGAGCAAGGACTGTGATGGGGAGGCCTTGGGGTCAAGTTTTCAGGAGCAGGTTCTACGGTACGGCTCAGAGGGTTGTCAGTAGAGCAGCCTGTGAGCCAGCCTGAAAGTGTGTGTGGCCGGCATGGAGTAGCTCTGCTTACTTCTTTCTCTGTCTCGCCCACATCGCCTCGGCCTTCCAGCCCCTGCTCGGATCTTTCCCTCAGGAAGTGTCTCCTTCATGATGCTCTGTCCCCACAACTGTGAGCTCACACATCTTTCTTAGCATTATGTGGTAATGGCTGGTTTATGAGAACACAGATGATAGCATATCTGTCTTAATATCTTAGGCTACTAGTAGAATCCTGGCATGTCATGGGAGCTCCTTGACTTTTTCTACCCTTTGAGGGTTAGGATGCTTTTGGCTGCAGTTAACAGAACCCTTGATGAACATTAGCTTTATTTCTGAAGGTGTTCATTAACTTACAAAGCAGTTTAGAGTTAGGCAGTACTAGGGTCTTTTGATGGTTTAACAATTTTGTCTGGGACCCCAGCGCTTTATATCATGGTGTCCAATCTTTTGGCTTCCCTGGGCCACATTGAAAGAATAATGGTCTTGGGCCACACATAAAATATATGAACACTAACAATAGCTGATGAAGTTAAAAAAAATCCCCAAAACCTCATGTTTTAAGAACCTTTACAAATTGGTGTTGGGCCACATTCGAAGCTGTCTTGGGTCGTGGGTTGGACAAGCTTGCTTTATATTCTTCTCTGAGATTTTGTGCTGATGTTTCAGCCTCAGGTTAGTACCTCATGGGTATGAGATGACTGGTCCAACTCCAGGGCCCTGTGTCCTCACAGAACTGCCACAGGAAGGGTGGTACCAAAGCTCTCAAGCTCTCTCCTCAGAGAGATTACATCTTTTTATTCTACACATGAAGGCTGCCTATGGACTTCCTCTTAGGAATCATTGGTCAGAACTATGTCTGCCCCAAGACCAAACTATGGCTAAGAGAAATGGATTTACTATTGACTTAGAATGATCATGATTCATACCCTGAAAGGCGGGGTTGCGTTCCTGCTTCCTTTTCTGTAATCAAGGAGCCTCAGCCCGTTAGCAGGGAGATGGAGGGGCCAGTAGTGAACATCTCCTACATGCTCCCCTTCCAGCTTCTCTGCCCTGCCTGCCTCCTTTCTGGGAACATGACCCACTCTGTGACCTTTGTTTTCTTGTAGAGGTCAAAATCCCCACTAGACTAGTTGTTCAGAGGGTTAAGAAATAACCCCTGCCACATGTTCACTTTTGCTATGTTTGCCTGTTCTGTCTCTCTTAGTACAGTATAAAATCTTTAAAGATAAAGACACTAGCCTTGGCAAACAGTGAAACCCTGTCTCTACCAAAAAAATACAAAAATTAGCTAAGCATAGTAGCACACACTCTGTTGTCTCAGCTAGTTGGGAGGCTGAGATGGGAGGATCGCTTGAGCCTGGGAGGCAGAGATTGCAATGAGCCGAGATCACACCACTGCACACCAGCCTGGGTGACAGAGTGAGACCCTGTCTCAAAAAAAAAAAAAAAAGATAAAGACTATATCATATTCATTTTTGTCTCTAGTACCTAGCACCCATCCTGGCAGATCCTGGCAGTTCAGTAGGTTTGCTGAAGTCTGAAATTTAGTGAGAAAGCCCTGTAGACTGGGGTAAGAATGAGGTTTCAGTTCAGTAAATAACTTATGTGTGGAGCGTAGAAGAATAATTTTCCTAAATGCGAGGCTAGTGTCATACTTATGTCTGTATCTCTTGCAATGAGAATGCTGGGCCACTGCACAGGAGCACTCACTACATATTTATGACATTGAATTGGATGTCCTAAGGAGAGGAGGATAGACAAGTGGCCCCCAGCTTGCCACTGAGGCCAACCTGCCCGGGGATTCACCAGCTATGAAGAGGTCATCAGATTGCTTGACATGTCATTCACACTACTGTACATGGTTCTTTTTTGGTTTGATTTGTCTTTTCTTCTATACTGCTAAATTCTTAAGCACTCCAATGATCTCTGGAGCCATAGGAAATGGTTATTTCATAGGATGGGGAAATCTTTTGAAAATGGCTTATCTTTACCTCACAGGCTGTAAATGGTCAGGGCTGACCCTCTTTTTGAGCTTGTTTTCTCATTCTCTAAATTGTTACTTGCTGTTAAGGATGCCCTATCTCTTGCACAGTCAAAAATATACAATTTACTTTTAATCCAATTCAAGGATTAAAATCCAATCCAAAATGCACTTTTAATTAATTCAAATTCCTATAGTTTACGTACTTGCAAACAAATAATCGATATCAACTTTCCAGACAATGAGGAAGGCTGGAGTCATGGAATGACGCATTCACTTGATATATACAGTGTCAATATCCTAAAAATTGCATGAACCATTGGTATTTGTGGGTAGAATATTGTAGTTGTACAGGAAGTAGGAGTGTAATTAACAGACTTCACAGAGGTCAAGATGGAGGCGAGGACAGCAGGCAAGTGGGAAAGAATCATGGGTGAGTGCACTTTTCATCCGTTGACCCTGTCATCCCTTTTAGGTTTTTTTATCGACCACAGATAGATAAGGCTTAGGGTATAACTGGGGCTTGAGCCTATGGAAGGCATGGCTCTTCTGAGCACGCATGACATTGAAATAATTAATTTGATGGAAATGCAAGAAATGATTGTCAGACCTTCTACTACCTTGAGCCTACTGATACCTCTACATCTCTACAATCCAGAGAAGATCATTTGTTCTGATAATGATCCCAATATTAACCCTTGACTCCATTATTAGAGCTTTCTGAAATATGTCAGGTGCTGAAAGAACATATTTATGTGATAAGTGTATTTTGTTTGAGATGGACAAAAAGTGAATGATGTGCAAGAGAATACTATTTTGAAACACATGCATAGCTTTTGTATTTATTTATTTTTAATTAATCATTATTATTTATTTGAGATAGAGTCTCACTTACTCTGTTGCCCAGGCTACAGTGCAGTGGTGCCACCTTGGCTCACCACAACCTCTGCCTCCTGGATTCAAGAGATTCTCTCACTTCCGCCTCCTGAATAGCTGGGATTACAGGAGCATTCTACTATGCCTAGCTAATTTTTTTTTTTTTTTATAGTTTTAGTAGAGATGGGGTTTTACCACATTGGCCAGGCTGGTCTCAAACTCAGATGATCTATCTGCTTCGGCCTCCCAAAGTGCTGGGATTATAGTTGTGAACCACCATGCCTGGCCATGTCCAGCTTTTAGATATGACTCCCTCGCTAATGAGCTGACCTTGGGCAATGTTTGTAGTATCTGAGACTCCGGCTCTATTCCATAGTTAACTGGGGCATTGCCAGTTTTAATTTTGCATTCTTGTGAGAGTCAAATTGGATCATGTATGTAAACAACATGAACCAGTGTCTAGTACCTAGTAGGTGCTCACTAAATGTTAGTTCTGTTCATTGTATCTTGCAATATTTTAGAGTGTTACCACAGATACAATAGGACATTTTATGTGGGACCCTTTTTGTCTCTTTTTTGGCTGAAGCCCAAGATACTAGATGCCAGCAACCCCATAGAACAAAGTGAGATGTTCTGATGTTGAAGAACTTGCCAAGAAGATTAAACACCTGTTTTGATCCATAATCCTCTTCTCCATGTTGGGGAGTATAGTGGAGATACCAGTGCTCACCAATACCTCTTGTGCCTTCTTACATTTCCTGGCCTCTTTGCAGAACTAGGGCCACATGGTCTGCCTAGTGGTCTGTGTATGGATGGGACACCTGTCACTTTTAGCCCAAAGCATAAAAGGATGGATGTGGCTCCCTCATGCCTCGACTGCATTAACACCAAAAGAAATCTACTCCCTAGACTTGGTGATTGTGGCTGAGCCACAAAATCGAAGTTGTCTGGATCACGGGGTCATCTGATAGAGCAGCGGCACTTGTAAGACATCTAGATTCTCAGCAGACTTCGCCTAAGAGTGGAACAAAATTTTGCTAAGCTGCCAACATCTTGGGGGTTAATTTGGGATTGCAACTTAATGTGTCTATATAAAGAAGAAGCTGCAGAGTCAGGAGAGGATTTCTTAGAGGAAGTGGTCAAAATACTGTAGCATGTTCTTCCCCTTGACCCTGCAGGAAATGGGAGGTGGGTGCTTCTCTTTAACCCCTGCCCAGTGAGAGGGCTTGAGCTATTCATGTGGAGACAATGAGGACTAGAGACTATAGGATACAGAGCAGGAGAGACTGTGGCCAGCTGGAGAGTGAGCTGCTTTGTGAATAGGTCACCTTTCTAGAGTTTGCAGGACAAGGATGCATGGAACAAGGCAGGAACGAAGTGGAAGAGAGCTGACCTAGAGGTGCTTTGGGGGGACTTGGCCCAAGGCCATGTGAAGGGAATTCGGGACCCAATAGAGCCAGGCTGTGTCCAATGGATTGTAGCAGGCAGGGTCTGAGGAAGGAACCCAAAACTGCCTGTTGCAGGAGGCAGTGCCTACCACTGGCCTCTGAAGTATGTGTAAAAGAAAGAGCCTCCGAGAGAGTTGGTTTCAAGTCTCTGCCACAGCTGGAGGAAATCCTCTTCTGCCCTTGAATTCTGGAGGTGGCAGAGGCATCTTAAAAAAATTATTTATATACAGTTATGAGGCACAAGTGCGATTTTGTTAAATGAATATATTGCATAGTCGTGAAGTCTGGGCTTTTAGGGTATCCATCACTGGAATAACATACCCGGTATCCTTTAAGTAATTTCTCATCCTTTTGAGAAGTCTCATCCTTTTGAGTTGAGGGAAGGGGCAGACGAGCTACGTGGGGAAGGGAGAAGATGGCCTTGTCCCCTCTCCTGCAGGAGGGAGCTCTTTGATTAAATGCAGTTGAGAGCTTTGACTCTTACTGGGAACTGAACAGTTTTATTAAGAAAAAAGATTGAGAGTCGTATGCAGAGGATTTTCATGTAATAAAATTGCAGTTGTACTGCCTAAACTTATACAAATAAATAAAGAGTAGAGGGTTTTTTAAAGGTATAGTAATGACAAATATATAAAATCTTTTTTTTTTTTTAACATAAGAAAGAATTAGCCTCATAAAGCAGATTTGAGTTGAATGGGCATGGGGGGAGGAAGGTTTTTTTCCTGCACTCCCTCTTGCAAATGTATGGTTTCATTCACAAGCATCACACAATCATAATGTGATGATTGCATTAACAACAAAACATCCGAAACAGGAAACAGAACAGTAACCTGAAATGTATGATAGCAATACATCTTTTTTTGAACTATGTCACAGAATATGAAACTGAATGTAACATATTTGTTCTCATAATTGATACAGAATAAGATACTGAGCCACAGGCTTATGCACCTTTCATACATTTAAAACCGTCCTAAAATATCAATTAATCGTAATGCAAAATTGCTTGATAGAGCTCAGAGAAGAATTGGACAACAATTTTCTTAAATGTCTTTATTGTCTGCAGCAATAAAAACAGTAAAACCAGAGATTTTACTTTAGGAACATGTTCCATGAAGGAAAGGTTATTACATTTTTATCAACTGCACTTCCTGCCTTTTAAAACTAGCTGTGTTTCATCCACCTCTGAAATGTTTTGCCTTATCTACTGTTCTGGGCAAGAGCAGCAAATAGTGCAGTGATAAGCTCAATAATTACAGACACTGTAGGCTCTGGAAGGGTTTTATGGCTGGAGTCAATGGGTGGCATTATTATCTGAGGCCATCACACTGGGTTAAGTGTCTTTCACGACAATTTTCAGAGGATCTCAGTGTGTCTTTCTTCTCATCCATGTAGCCTAGTGGGAGGTGGTGCTGGACGATGGGTAAATACAGGGGCTTTGTAGATGACAGCCCCAACACAAGTCTCTATTCTGCTTGATAACCATGCACTCCTGGGCAAGTCGCAACTTACTTAAGCCTTGCGTTTCTTGTGCATAACATTATTATTATTATCTACTTTCAGTTACTATGAGGATTAGAAGTAATGTGGATAAAGCAATATCATAGTACCAGGTAAAGGACACCAAAAAGACTAATAAAATAAATAACTATTTTAGAATAATGATATAATGGTACTAACCTGAATGATAGGATAGAATGAATATTATTAAAAGAATAAAATAAAAATAATGAAATGAAAATTGGATAACTGTGTTAAAAGACAATGATAAAACAATGTAAACTTGATAGAATTATTATTATAACAAAATGGGCACATGTCATGATCTCAAGACATACATTCTTCTTCATTAAAATTGTTTTGTAACTAGGATTGGCCTGATATTTTCTTTTACAATTCAGATAATAATTAACAATTACGTAAACTATTTAGAACACTTTCTTTTAAAATAACATATGCAATGCACTTGGCATACTGGAAGACTCACCAAATTTGTGTTCGTGTTATTTCTTTGCGGTATTGTTAGCTCAAGTCGGAAATACCATTCTCCCAAGGCTTTGCACGTGGTTGCCTTGCAGTTGTATTCTTGGTGCTTGAACTGTATTTCAATTACCTTAAAAAGGTATGAGCATGCTTCTCTGAACATAAACTAATTGCTCCATATGGACTCCTATTTCTAGAAATACAGATAAATTTACAAATCTCTTTCTCTTGCATACAAAGATGAGAAGGGATTGCTCCTTGCAGAGGAGTTAGGTATTTCTTTTAACCTAATGAAAAGACTGCAAAGTTCTAGAAATAGCCAGCCTGTAGTTTGTTCCCTACTGAACGCATTGATCCCAAGTTTGTATCTGTGGCCATTACTTGCAGAATTGGACACTGTCTGCAGCTTTGAATAGTGCCATTCAGCCTCAGGCTGAGGGCTTGAGTGTCCCCAAGGGCGCTGGTGCATGTGGGGTGGGTCTGGGGCTAGACAAAACAAGGAGGATGCTTGTTTGCTTGTTTTTCTTTTCGTTTTTTTTTTTTTTTTCTCATTAGTTATTCTGCTAAGTTTGTCCAGGCTTTGCAGGAGGAGAGCTGAGGTGGCAGAAAGAGTGAAAACACAAACACCCATCAATGTGGTGTGTGGGGCTCCATTGTGCTCAGGTTTTCCCCATCCAGGTGTTCTCTGGTTTACAGATTATTAGACACTTCTCTTTTCTCTGTCCTTTCCTAGCTGGGATGCCATCTGGCTTTTCCCTTTGGGTGTTATTTCTCAGACAGTGACAGTGATAAATAATAAACATAAACCATCCATTTACCTCTGGCCAGCAGCTTTCTAGGGCTATAAAGACATATGTGTGCACTTACATACGTGGAGTCACCTCTCTCCTTGCTCATTTATCTGCTGCAGCTTTTATTCTACTTGCTCTGTGTTTATCTCTTTGATTAGGAGCCTCTCACAGATCACAGTAGTAATCTGTTTTTCTTTTATTTGTTTCCTTCCATTCTAACAGTAACATGCCAAGTTTAGAAATTTAGCATTTCAGAAAATTGGAAAGTAAGAAAAATAAAACACTGCTGAAATCCCACCACTGAGAAATATTAGCTATTTACATTTTGCTGTATTTCTACACACACACACATACACACACACACACACACACACACACACACACACAAGATCCTATTACCTATTTATTTCTGACTGATTTTCTTTAACAACATTTATGAGCATTTTCTTTTATAAAAAACATGTTTTTTAATAACTTTAATGACCTATAATATTCCATTGCATAGATATTTCCCATTTATTTGACCTTTCCCTTATTTTTGTGTCTAATTTTTTACTGTCATAGACAACAGCACCGTGAGCATCTTTTCCCATACCTCTTCATTGGTCCTGGAGAGGTTGAGATGCATAGTGTTAAACTGCTCTCCAACGGAGCTGTGCCCATTTGCAGGTTCTCCCATGGTGTGCCAGAGTTCATCCAGCTCCTTCTATCACCAGCAAGTATCATATTTTATTCTGTATCTTAGAAACTTAAGAAATGGCACTTTACTGTATTATAACATATATTTCTTTGACAATTAATAT